TGCTAATTAAGGGACTAGTACCAGGCCCTTGCGAACTGTTTATCGCAGCAATCAAGGCGAAATAATGAAATACGAATGTCATAAAGTTACATTATATGTTGCAGAATGTCATTTCGTATATTTAAAATATACTTATATCATACTTATAAATAAATAAAATGCTTATATAATATATTTAAGAAGTATGGAGAAAAATAACKATAATTAAAATTTCTTGGTTAAAAATGGCTACACAACACATGATCTGGCTTTTATATTTAGCCATTTTATTCATTTCAAAAAAGCCTATATTCAAATCATTCAAGCGAAGGATCTAAAATCAAATCAAGATTGTTCTTTTACTATTGTTTTGAGACGAGAGTACTTCCAGTAACAAATTTAACCCAACATCGAGAGCTACTGCCATTGTTGAAGAGCAGCTTAAAGACACCAAGAACGACAGTTATCAGAAACACTTTAGCATCTTATGAATCCAAAAGAAAGGTCTCTTTGTTTTACTTCTTATAGCAACATGCATATTAAAATGTCGCCATGAGAAATCAAAGTTATTGAAACTATAGGCTACAGAGAAAGGTMGATATGAAGACACTCTTGTTTCTCGCTGCAATATTCAACCAAACAGGCTTAAACACGAAAATAACTGTAATTGTAGTCTGATTTCTCATGTGGCAAGGTGTGGGTTTTGATAAGTAGATATTTGCATACTCGTGCCCAGACCCTTTTTGAATTTCGGAAAATCTAATTAGCATAATGTCCTTTCTCTATAAGCTATACCCTTTCCAGTGCTTTCTATTTTTGTCTTTTTGTATATAAGTCTTGGCCTCTAGCATTTTGGCGTCTCATTTATAGTTTTAATGCATTGTTTTGCCTTGAGTGATTCGTTTCTTCTGCCGGTAGCTATTACGGGTGATCTCGGTGGGGTCCCCCTTTTTACTTCTCCGCAAAAGCTTTTATTAAACAGACATTACTTAGTAATCTTCGTTAGTAGATTCTCAATCTATAATGGACTTATATGGACTCCATATGAATTGCAGTTTTATATGACCTGAAAAGATTTTTTGATTTACAATGATTAGTTGAATATTATTATTATACACTGTTAACTCTCATTGAACGACCACTTTAGTAAGCGACCATGGCTCCTGTAAGCGACCACCTTTTAAATTTCCCGTTTTCTTCAGTTTCCCATATAAACTCTGTTAAAAACTTTCTCGTAAGCGACCATCTCTCCAGTAAACGACCACTCATCTTGATCCCGAGGTGGTCGTTGTCGAGAGAGTTGGCTGTATTCACAATCGGTGAATCTAAGTTATAAGTGAGTTTTTATAATTTTCAAGCTAAATACACAATTCTTAAATTCTATTTTTTTGTTTTTCTGAACTCATTGACCAATCATTGCGCGAGTTGGCTCTTTTCGATTTGTGTTAAATATAATGACTGATACTATAAAAGCTCACACTCCAAAAATATCCGATATCAATCTAACAGTCTTTTGCGAAAAAAAGCGAAGCTGCACCACTTGTTACTGTAAACACTAAGCGGGAGAAAAGAAATAAAGAAAAAAACATTGTTTGCAAATACAAGACCTAGTAGGGTAGGGTAGTATCGATAATCCAATCAAATTGTCATAGAATGTTAGAATTTTCTTCCATAGTCGAAAGTTTTAAAGACCAAAACGCAAGCTATCTAAATTCAAATCATGATTTAAGTCGASTTTGGTAAAATTCGCAACTCTGCAAAGGGCATTTGCAAAATCGTACAATAAACCCCTCCCACTAGGAATCCTCATGATGTTTCTCGTTGATAGAAAACAGTTTGAGGCATTGGAGAAAAGCTAAGACTGCAAAAGTTGTTATCAACAAATAGATTAAATATGTCAATGCTGAAATTAGAAAAGTATGTTGGTTATAGGTTTCTTAAATGGACTATACTGTTCATAGTGCCGTCTCGACAGTGTGTAAGACTTAGAAAGGGCAGACGGCCTTCTATTACGAGTATCAAAGCGCAAATTATGTTAATACGATTAGTGAATTTACTGATTTATTCTCGCCAAATCCATCAGAATATCATTTATAAATTTTCAATTCGTTTATTAGAGAAGTACAATTATTTTAAAAACCCGAAAAGTTAATTTTTATGAATTTTTTTAGCGGATCGTTACACTGGATCGTTACATTGGATTCATTGCTCATTTAAAACACTAAAACCATGAAAAAGTTTAATAGTAATCAAAAATAGTGTTTAATTGTACTGAAATATGCAAATTCCTTCGAAATTTTTTCGAATTAATATATACCAGAATGAAGTAAAAAAAAACAACGTGAAATAGATATTACACTAATACACTTTAGTAAGTTCTAATTGCATCGTTTTCTTTGGTGTCTACTACTATATCACACTTTAAGAGTAAAGTTTTGTTTCACGGCTGTTTTTCACTGTCTAGTTTTAGTATCACGGTTGTTATTGCTGCGGTAAAGCGAGGTCCTTAAACCCGTGAAAATGTACAAACTATTAAAAACTACGAAGTGTCTAGATACCCGGCACCCGGGAAAGAATTTCAAAATACTAGATACCCGGGAGTTTTTATTTTTAAAAATTCAAAATTTACGCCTTAATAATTGCTTTCACGATTTCAAAGTCTCCTAGCTTTGTTTAAAACGGGGAAGCGCTTCTTATGGACCATGAACATGAGAAGCAATCACAATTGTTGAGTCTCGGCATACTATAGAAATAGCCTGGTTGTGGGAACAGTTTTAAAAATACTACATACCCGGYAGTCTAAAACTTACTCAGAAAAAGATTTATTCAGTGCAAAAGMCATGGCRAGACACATCTAAAATTAATTTATCACATGTAAAACTGATTTAAATAAAACTATTATTTTTTAAGTTTAATAGCAAACAAAAGAATCACCATAAAATAGTAGTACCAATTTTTCTACGCTTTTAGAGTGAACGCGTTTAATCCGTGAAAGTATAACAAATCAAAATACCATAAATTTGCACAAAATCTGCAGCTGAAGCGGACTGTACGTCCATTGAACACTTTATTTAATTGCACAAAATAGTATACCGAGCCTGGTTAAACAGATTAAGTAGAGTGATCGCACTTAATCCGTGCAAYTRTACAAACTAAATAGTTCTATTTAGTTGTATTTAGTAAATCGTGCATGCGGTACGCAAATTAAATTGAATTGATTCAAATGAAGCATTCAATACCGTCTTGCTTCAGGTCCACTTTTAGTACAAATTAGAACTACTTAGATCATTCTACGTTCACTCTATTACAAGCACTGTATGCGAATTCTATTTAGCACTATTTGGTTATTATTTGTCAAGCTTTAGTTGGACTTGTACCGTAGCAAACTTTACAACTCAGTATACAGTGCAACGTACACACGGATACAATTTGATACACTCTCCATTGATCTGTTTATAGAATAAGCTTTTTCTATTTTCATAATATGTAAGACTCTGATCTTCGTTTCAATATTAAGTTAGATTCACTTCTTTTGAAAATTCAAGTTTTCAAATCTTCAATTCCTGAATATCCAAATAAGGCCTCATATACTGCTAGACATATTGTCAAAGATCAAGCTGTGAATGTCTTGAATTAATCGTTTGATCATATCCCTTTCCCACGAAATTGCTCTTGAAACCTCTTTTCTCGTAAACACCTTTTATTAAACTATCTGAAAACAACCTATGGAGAAGGTACTCKTATTTTWAAAAAACATAAATTTTATAAATCTAAGGTTTTTAARCGACTATGTTATTGAGCGTCCATAGACTGGTTGTCTTTTTAGCTTTGTTTAACTCGCATAATGTTAGTCTAGCGGGAACTCAAGGGGTAAAAGAAGTCGTTTTTCTGACTCGTTCAAAGAGAATATTCTACAATCTTTTATGTTTTTCTTAAARGTAGCATTCTAAAGTATGTTTGCCTGATTTGGTCAATACGTTGATTGAAATATTTTACACCAAATTGTGCATGGAATATTCCCAGCTAAGTATTAATAATAATAAATTCCTTGGATCTTATCCTTGTAATGTGTCTTTGAGGGACTAAACATAACCAAGTATGAATATAAGCGGCGTATCTTTGTGTCTAGGTCCATATTCTATTGGGGTTCTGGTTACCATGGCGATAGACTGTCCTTTCCCATCCCAAAACCCACCATAATATTCTCAGTTGACAGTTGTTCTTATTATTCTTCCTATTAGCCAGAATATCATTTACGTGTTAGGCGATAATGTCGGTGAGATGAATTGCCTTGAGTATTTCTATCTCACTAAAAGCTAATTTGAAAACCGGCATCTATTTGCACGCTCATTGAAGAAAGCTGGCCCAAATAGCTCCAGGCGACATATAAGTTGCTTGCGAATACGAGGCCATATGAAGAATGTGTTCGTCTATGCTGAGCTTATTTCAATAATTCCCGTTGATGCAGTGTTTTAACGCTTCGCGCGATGTTCTACTCCCTTCAATCTCAAGCAAGTTCTCTTTCATCACACTCTTGAAAAATTATATCAGTTTTAGAAGAGTAAATTGMTGAGAATTGGAACAATTACTCCTATTAATTCTGATAATGAAAGCAAAATCCGTTGTACGACAGAAAACACTCTTTTTTTWAATGAACCAAGTACAATGSTTGCTCATACTAAAAGTYGAATTTTTCTCTGGTTGAAGTGAACAGCTTTATACCAGATGTTGATTCAAACTGGCTTACGGAAAGCGGAAATTAAAACCAGCCTCGCTCATGACAAAGAACTGTATGCATCAGTAAAAAGCGCCCGCGGCTGTTCTGTTGACAATGGATATGAGATGGCCAAGCAAGCTTAAAGTTTACGTACTAAACTTAACACCGAATTTTCTAAGTTATTCAAAGCCGTTGTAGTGTTCTCCTTACCCCACCACCCTCAGTAATCCGTTATTTTGCCACTTGTAGYATTTAAAGTAACGCTATATAGAACTTGTTTTCAGTACAGGAGCAATTTACATACCTTTATCTCGCTCTGGTAGTCTTACCGAAGAGTCAGTAGTCACTTTCTTGTTATTGAAGAGACCAATGGTCGATTTCTCTCCAATCAATTCACGATGTTGGGTAGGCTGTGGTAAGGAGCTTTCTAGGTTATCCTCCCTCTTGATGTTGACTTCCATTGAGCGGCTCACTCTTTTCTAGTCCTCTGTGAGCTCAATTCATAGAGTTGGAAACTGTTTGTGTATTGACTAGACCTAGGTAGGTATAACTGGAGTAATATCAGGTCTTCGGAAGAGCGTACAGGAGCATGTAGACTATCRACGCAAACAGACACCCCTAACGCTTCTTGTGAACTACAAGACAAGAAATAATTTCCAATTTAGAATCAGATGTTTGGTTCTCTGTGTTCACAGACGTTATCAACTAACAGTGTGGGGCCGTATGGCCGATTTCTGAGCCTGGGGAGAGACTTAATAAGCACAAATGGCCGCAGGCTATCGGGAACCTTGTTTGTTACGAGCGGCGCCGACGAAAGTAAATTAAAACATATCTCCTAGACAATAGGTTTTATCGTGTTCTCTTTAATAGCAAAAACCTGCCGACAGCCCCTCTATGGATAACAGAGCAACATCAAAGGTTTTCACTTTCGAGCATCCATATATTGCTACTTTCGGATTGGTGTTTGTTCGCCGACCAATCAGAATCCTCATCACTCCTCAACCCCGACAACCCCTGAACACCGTTTATGTGGTGTTTTAGAGGTTGAACATCGACCGATATGTACCCATCTTGCTTTAATCTCCGGCTGGAGTAATTTGAAAGAGCGTTTAAGGGTTTGATATTGTTAGACAATATGTCGACATCAGTAGGCAGAATCTGTATCATGCTGTGGGGGAAACATAACATGACGGACTCTAAACAACAAGCCAACTCGTTATTTCACCTTTACATTTCCTCTTTTTACGAAACTTTAATTCTTAATAGTATGCCATAATGGCAAGTTAACTTCAAAGTAAGTTTCAGCTTTAAAAAGAGAAGAATGATTTCAATGTTGTTCACATCGAGAAAATGTTAACTGTGCGGTGTTTTTTGATGTGTGGGGTTGAAAAGATATTGACTACCAGGGCTTTGTTGGGTCGTCGTGACGTCATCTCCAACGTGGGCGCTGTACTTGTGGTGGCTTGTCCTACCATTTTCATTCAGATTAAGCGGCTCTTTTTAATTCCAAATAATTAGCTCTGAGGAGTTATACGAATTTTGCCTACAGCTCTTAATAAGGTCAATGGCTTAAGAGTGGCTTTTATGTGTATCTGTGTGTGTTTATTTATATACGCAGAGAATATAATACTCTGTTTTTTGGTATATATTGATAGCCAAAATTTATTTCCGTATTTTCGTAAGCTTCTATTATGTTTTGTTTACAGGTTGACAAGTTTATAGCTATATTAAGCGCACAAAAAGCGGTACCGTTGACATGCGGAGTCACTAAGACGACTCAAATAGATCGCATGTTCCCCGTAAGCAACAATTTTGAAGTGTATCCTTTCAAGCTCATCCACAAGATGAAAAGTTTTAATAACTCCTAGAGGCTGAATGTCATGCCGCTTTGCTATAACTTCCTACTTTTCTGTAGCCCCAGGTTGAYTAAATGAGAAAAATATAAAGGCAAATCGCACTAAAATAAAGCCTCTATATATGGCGCCGCCAACTTGATGGAGGTTCGGTGCGCTTAAAGTGATCAGTCGGATCGAATGATACACAACTTCTCACGTCTAATACATACAGTATTTGATCTTGAAGGGTACTTTTTTTGTTATTGTTGCTGAGGCGTTTTTTTAAAGTAGACATTACCATAAATTAASCCTGATATATTACTTACACATATARTACTATAACCAAATGAATAAATATAAGRTGAAATATCTGAATTCTTTAACCGATTATTATGACAAACACATGATTAGATAGCAAGGCATATGTACAACATGAATAAGCTGAGGGCAGAAAACAGACACTTTTCGTTGTTTTTGCTTATGGTGGTCTGTCTAGGAACCCTTTTATGTTTGCMAAATGAGCGCACTAACATGTTAAATATATCGGAGGCTTCAAAACTAGTAGAAAATTAGGRGTAGATGAAGCACGCGACAGTTTTACTCTCTACATAAGAGTTTTAKTTTTCTTTGAGAAGAGAATGTCTTGCTACTTAAAACTAGTCTTCTCAACTGAACTTGTTGAAACACAAATATCGAGAAAAAAGCTCGCAAACAAAAGCGAGCCTTGTAGCTATTTTAAATCCAAAACCTTTTATCCTTTATATAACAACATCTCAAGCTAAGCTTAATCCCCTAGGGTCGATGTGTATCCTAAACAACCTCCCTTTCTATAGACAAACTGAACAAAGCAATATTGGTTGTCAAAAGAGAACGAGGCACTGGCATTGTGTCTGCGGACTACAACGCTCTCTAAGCATACTATTTTCTCAACCAATCTAGAAAAGGCGAAATTGCTTTAGGCACTTGTTCCATTTTGACATAATTCTCCCCCAGGGAGGGGTGACGGATTGGCTTATTTACAACACAACGGTCAATGTGGCTCCAGTTTATAGCTGTAATCTTTATAAAATTACCGTCCGGATTTGGTTTGATCCTCCTGATTCTGGAGGGACGCTGGCATCTTTAAACAATGCTTAATTAGCTATTGAATATAACAACTATAGTTATTTATGTMTAAGATAGTGTAGCTATCATGACTGACATGCTTAACCAGTGCAATACAATGAARAKRTKYTSTKTTKWRARMGCTACTGKCAGTTTTCGTAAAAGTGTGTCAAAAGCAAGGCACTTTTTTCGCGTTGTAATAGGCCTTTTGCATGAAACGGTCRCATGGTACAAAATCSGCCATACTGGATGGCAAAAGAATGTAAACAACCTCAAAAACAAAAGGAACGCAGCCCGYCAAGCTTGACTTTTCTTYGTTTTGAAMATYCCASTGGGTATTTTGCCATCCAGTATGTTGGATTTTGTACCATGTGACMGTWTCATGCAAAAGGGCTATTGTCCTGAGGTATAGCCKTGATGTTTTCCACCCTCTTCGATGTWTTCTAKAGCGTCCGCACCAGGCGAGGTTCTGTGGCTGCGTCACAATCATGTCGTGCTATTGTACAGCGGTATGATATCTCTTCTAATCAGCGATGAACTTCTAGGATTGATGTGCTATATGAAGTTTAGTAAATCTTAATTATCATAAAAATTTCTTGTTTGGTCTCTGCTTGCTGGTTCACAATACATCGTTCYCCACAGAACACCTTTATTCTTCAATAGCTCATGTGTATCTAACTATTACAATCATATACTCGAGGTTTATTCTAAACTTATTTCACAATTGTTATACTGGTATAACTAGTTTGACATTCATATGTTGCAAAATATGGCGACCTTGACTAAACTTGTCATTCATATCAATTCATAGAGTACAAWCACTAAAACTGTGCAACATAAATACCACTAAATACTGCTAAATTATGCTAATTSBATTGTTTTCTATTGTTTAATTAACACTATTTTGTAGTAAATAGTGGAAAGTGTTGCACACATTTAATGTTTGTACTCTAGTTGTAGTGTTTACTTATTGATTCTATAAATTAAATTAAGTTAATCATTAATCTGAGCTCCAAATTAAGCTAAAAATACTCCTTAACAGGAAGCGTTTTTTCCCCACGTGTTTTATTTAAGCGTTAAACCAAATCAATCAATCCTTGATTGCAACTGTGATTTGATTTTATAGTATCGATCCAAATCAACCATCTCTGCGATATGGGTACGAGATAGACGAACTACGGCATCCCACCCCATGCWGAGATAAAAAGCATTCAAAGTTGTACAGTAAAATACAAATGCGTTTGATTATTACGTCACATTATAATCTTGTTTTGAACATGACGTCATCCATCTGTTAAAGTCAAACATTTTTATCCAAGAAACATGTTATTGGCCGAAATGTATAAACCACCAGAAAAGCATCAAATGAATTTTTACTGCRCAGTTGAATACGTGAAAATAGTGTTACGCAACGCTACTTTTGACTGAAATTTTAAACAAAAGTTTCTAATTTGATATATTTTCTTGCATYATTGACGATAAATGAAATGAAGTATTAATATTTAAGCGAATTCTAAGATTTTTGATGATAAAGTAAGATGTTTAAGACATAAACTAAGATATTTATATTGAAGACCTTTACTTCAGCTGTTATTTACTTACGAGTTACTAACTGTCCGCCATGTTTATGTACTGAACTTAACAGTTCGTTAACCACGCCTTTAAATTTCACCAGATTATGTACTTTAAATACTTTACAGAAAAAAGTTGTTGATTTCACATGTCACGCTAAACATCACGTGGGTGCGAACCAAGAATTGTCTTTACGACAAGGATTAGTTTTGTGCATTCTGGGAAGGAAAGAGAAGAATGACAGCCCAATAGTATAAAAAGAGTTTAGAAATCATCCGCAACGTAATTTGCGTATAAAGGGAGGTAATCTCAAGAATCGAATATGAAGAAAATATAACTTCCAAATTTTTTCATTTTTGGTAAATCACCGCCCGTCCAGGGCTGTGTTGTTTAAAACCCGACTARCGTAATCCAGTGTTAACCCCATTCGTTTTCTAAGCATTAACCCAGGATTAGCACTAATCAAGTAACCAGTCCCAGTATTGTAAACACCTGTTACGTCATGAATGACTTCTTTGACGATGCGGCGGCCGTCTTGGTAGGTGGTAAATATGTTAAAGAGTTTTTTTCTGTGATGACGTTGGTTACCATTCCATTCACCAGAAACATTATTAAGTAATGCCCCGAGTAAGAACTAGGGAAGCAAACGGCACAGGAATGCAAGRADGTRBTAATTRYKCATTGTATAATCCATCCATCCCATTGGTTAAAACATGAAAATCTGCTATAATTTCACAAGTTAGCGAATTTTCTAATATTTTATTTAATGTCTGTTTTCGCTTTCATGAAAGCTTCAAGAAGCTTTCTTTAGCTTTAATATTAAGGCAATTCTACGTGGGGAACATAGCAAATTAGAAGCATCTTTTGGCTATTGTTTTGAGTGCTTATGATTGGATAAGAGCTTTTAATACAAAAGAAACTTTGTTTCAAAATAGAGTTTATCCACATTTTATTTCAAAAATGTGTTACCCACAGATGGATACATAATCAGTGTGAAAACCAAGACATTCGTACATGGGGAACTTGCTATGCCGCAGAACAATAGAGATTTCCCTAGTTCTTTAGCGCATTGTTACTTAAAACAACAAAAGTTATCAAATAGATTTACATAAAAGATATACCAAAACTGTATAGTTCTTTTGCGATACAGAAGAATCAAAGAATTACGAGATATATTATAAGGCGTCCAGGGGTAAATTAAAAGAGATGTTGGTTTATATTAAAGACCCATTGACCCATTGTACAATTATACGTGTTTTGATTTTTTAGGAAGTAAATAATTAGATTGGGAATATTCCTTCCTTTTTATGTTGCGTCTTTGAGTTATATTAATCATAAGTTTAATTTCTCAGTATGCAAATGATGTAGCGTCCAGGAAGGACTCATTAAATATACGAACTTTGCAGTTGACTGCAGTTGTTTTCATAAACGCTATCTGGCGATATGCAGTCCCTTCACTCAATTCATTCAACTAAATTGAAAAACAATTTTTGACGTCATTAGCATATTTAATGATTTAGCCTTCATTACTGAAAGACGCATTGTTAAAATCAAGAAATGTTTTGATATTGAATTATTAACTATAAAGAATTAACTGTACAATTATTGGACTTGGGGTCATATGTTCATCTTGTTAATTCTTTGCTCAACGACCCACGTGCATCCGTGAACCTTTGCGTGACGAATCTTCGCCATATTTGATTTTGAACCAATCAGAAAGCAACCGTTTTAACAAGAGATCATTTTCAAAACAATAGTCTAGTTCACGGTTACCTGCGCCATGTTGAAAGGTAAGTACCTTTGTATCGAAGCAAGACGACCGCTGAGCGTGCAATGAAATCTTTCRCACCTACAGACAATTATTCACAGGTTTCTATCATTGCACGCTCAACGCTTGTCTCGCTTCGATGTAAAGGCACGGCAACCTTTCAACATTGCGCAGGTAACCGTGAAGGAGACTATTCAAAACAAGCGACAGAAAAGATAATCGGATGCAGTTTGGCCTTTGATGGTGACTTTTGACAAAATGTTCTTGTCGTCGAGATGCACCAAAATATGACGAAAGTGGCAAATTGATTTTTTGTTTTGATTTCAAGCTGTTTTACGAACCAAAAGCATAATTATTTTTAAAGATACTGCAGATCTCTCATCATTCTCTATTATGTGGGCACATAGCTTTCTCGACAACGGATAACGTAAATTTTGCCAAAACTTCGCCTTCATTGTTTTTATTCGTCATACTTTCGTCAAGATCACTAGTGATGCACCTCGCCAAAAAAACATGACGTTATAAATAGTGACGCACCTCGCCAAAAAACATGACGTCATAAATGGAAAAAGAACAAAAAACGTCATAATCTTCGTCATCTTTCAATATTTGTTCCCTGCCCACCATATCATCGAGGTGGTTTCTTTTATGATATTCAAATGCTCCCCAAACAAATGTTTTTTAATTTTAAGACTACAAACAGTATGGCGGTCAAAGCTGCATGATGCATTGTTTGTTATCTTTGGTGCAGAAACTATTCTTCTTGGGATTCCTGTTTCGAAAGACAAGTTTCTTATTCGCTCCACTCTTTCTCGGCCGCCGAATAAAGGAATCCCGATAAAGAGGTCATGGCAGAGAAAACATGGTTCTTTGTAAGTACCGGTTCCTTTACTCTAAGCTGAAGAACATAGCTACAGTATTGACGTCTATATCAATAATATATTCTATATTAAGTTTGTTTCATTTTACGGCTCATGCTATTTTAATTAAGAAAAATACGAACCGCACGTGCCTGGGAAACTCATTGATAGCACAAGAAAGACTGAGCGCATTTTTTCTGAACTTGCTTCTCGAATGTATTCCATGTCTCACCGTGTCTTTTAGGGATGACAATGATACAACTCGCWGAAACATGCCATTTCTATGATCTCTGATATAAACCATAGTCATTATGACAAGCTGAGAAACTTTAAAAATACCCTGTCACATACTGATTCAATAGAAATTTGCATGCCGCCTCTTTTGAAAAGGGCACAGAATTCAATAGATTTTCATTATATTGATAAATTGACGGGCTATCATCCTAAAGCACCTTTAGTTATATATTGAATAAAAAATATCGAATCCCGGAACACATCATAAGAAATGTACTGTGGTTACACTCCTTKAATCCCCTTTGACAAAATGTAAAAATATACCAAAGACTGATAAATCCTGCCGCACCCACATATACGATATAACCCATCCAAAGTTTATTGCTTGCGGTTTAAGTATTCAGTTATAGAATGAGGTTACGCTTCAAAGGATGCCGTGCCGGTTGTACCTTCAGGCGATTACATTTTAACATATTACAAAGTAATAAAAAGGAACTGTTTTTAATTTTTTAGGGTCCTGGTAGAGTGCDAACGCTAAAACCATGAAAAACTTAAGCTATTAAATAGTGCTAAATTGTACTGAATTATGCGAATTCTTATATTTCCTAGAAGTCATTAAACCCGTGAAACAAAATCTATTAAAGTGTGATATTCAAATAGACTCAAAAGAAAACAATGCAATTCATAGAGCGTACTAAGGTGTATTAGTGTAATATATATTTCACGGGTTTTTTGGCTTTCACTCTATTGTGTATTGAYCTATTTGTCCCTATTTGACTAGTTATTTTTCACGCTTTTAATGTTTGCACTCTACATTACAAAACGTAAGTCATCTATATCCGCTAAAGCACATGGTCTTAATTTAGACAATTCTTAACAAGCGTTGCGTTTCTATTAGTTAATACGTGAAATACCTGTATACMCGCTAACACGTAACTGAGGAACATTTTGACGTGTAAATTATCCTMGCAAATACATACGTTTATACGATATACGTATAAAATACGCAAAGTTTCGACATCTACGCAAACGCACATGTTCTGTTAAGAAATTGTTAAGAAAATTAGACTGAAGCGTAACGTTTCTGTCAGTCATTACGTAAAATGTTTGYGGWAATGGTTTTATCAATTATGATACGCAATAGATGATTTTCCTATGATGATACGCAARGCATTCGCTAAAGCATTAAGATTTTTAAAACTTCTTAACAAAATTAGAACCGTTGCGKTRTATTTTGTGTCTTACGTAAAATTTGTGGAATTGCTAGCACTTACGGTACTATAWYMA